ACTTCCTATGTTGTTCTTTGCTAATATCAGATGAATGATGCAATGCAGTCAATTTAGCAAAGAGACGTTTAGCCGAATTACAATATATGTTTCTTTGTGCAAGTAACATTCGTACATCTCTATCAAGATTTTCTCTATCATTATTAACATTTTTCAACTACAGTTCCAAATAGTCTATTCTACTACGTTTCGAGTCTAGAAGTTTTTGGGTCTCTAGCAGTTGAGTACTTAATTTCTTGGCTTCATTACTAGCAGACACAACAATAGTATCGAAGTAAGCAACAGTATCATCAAATGCAATTATTTCAGAATCGTAAGCTTGTAAAGGAATGTTAAAAGATTGAAGAATAGAACGTACCTTCGTGGTCATAGGTGATTTGTCCCTAGATTTGGTCATAAAACATCGACCAGTCACCTTGTCGTCTTCATCCTCCTCAAATTGTGCGAACATTGCTCCATGTGTTAGATTTCGCATTTCTTCATCATCAGAACCTGAGGACCAGATTTGATACGTACCATCCTCCTCTTCAGCTTTTCCTCGTGCAACCAATGACATCCCCTTGGCTTTCGCACGAACTTCCTCCAATCGTTCAACATAATATGCTTCGTCTTTGATACGATTCTTTTTCTCCTTTTTCTTATGAAGCATACAATCATTTGCTAGATGATTTGCTTCGTTGCAATAATGACAATCAACACCTGAGTCTCCCTTAAGCTTCTTTTCACTTTTCGACTCTTTAGCCTTGTCATCATTCTTCTCAAACTTCTTATTTTCTTCAACACTAGACTTACTTACGAAGCTTCCCTTTACTTCATTCTGCTTTATCTTCGGATTAAACGGTTTCTTGAAGAACTTTTTAACTCGATTGTTTGAGTAAAAAGCAACCGCCTCATCATTAGAGTTCATGAGAAAACCTTCTTCATCCGAATCCTCTTTCTCAACAGTCTCAACCTCAGATACCTTAGAAACAAGAGCCAAAGGTCCTCCCAAGCTCTGTTTCGACTCTTCCACCATTTCAGACACTTCGCTTTCGTGAGTTTTGAGTAGATTGTACAGATCATTCAAAGATGAATTATCGAAGCTTTGTTGACTTTTTATCATCATGCTTACACTCCTCCAATCTTTACGAAGTCCCATCACGAAAGTGAGATTGAACTCCATAGAAGACCTTGTAATCCCATATCGATTACACCTGTAAATCAACTCATTCAGACGATCATAGTAGATTTCTATTGTTTCATTCTCCTACTGTCTGAATTCTTTCAGCTCTACCAGACATTGCTTAACAGAGTTGATTTTTGTTTTCTCACTCCCCTGATATTTCTCTTTGAGAGTGGTCCAGATCTCTTTTGCAGTTTTACAACCACAGATGTAGTTGTAAACTACAGGTGGCAATGCACCTCTCAGCTCTCTCATACAACGCTTCTCGTTGTTTTTCAGTCTTGATGATTGTTCTTCTACAGCTGAAGTTGATCCAGATGATCCTATATTTTGAACATTTGGTGGTGGTTGAACATTTCAAGTAATGCAATTCCATAACTCTTCATCCAAACCATTAAGATAGTCTTCCATACGATCTGCCCATTGATCGTAGTAGTCTAGAATCAGCATTGGAATTTTTGTTGATGATCCAAGCAGATGAGAGTAAGAAGTCATCGTGTTCATGTTGAAGTTTGCCATTGTTATACGAATGAGAATTTTTCAGAAAACTTTAAGAATTTTAAGATTTGAACGTATGAATTGATCAGAAACTTGAAATCGATCACTCGAATATATAATTCGAACACAGAATCTAAACAAAACTGTAGATCTAAGACAATTTTCAGAATCGTATTGTACGGAAACTTTTAAGACTCACTTAAGACTCAAAAACGAACGATTCAAATGAAAATTAGATCATTGCAGTTTGAATCCAGCTCTGATACCAATTGTAGAAGAATTGTAATGAGTAATCGAATGTAAATCAGAGTAATTCAACGAATTAAGAACACACAATGTAAATATGATCTTGTTTCAGCTTGTATTGCTTTCAGAGAACTCAAGTACAAAACAGATAATAGAAATTGGGAAAACTCTACTATCTACACTTAAGTTCAGATCCTATTTATAGGATACTGAAAGTACAAAAAATACTAAGTCTAGACCTTAAGCTTCGTTAACAAAGATGACTTAGTAAATACATACACATACGAAAAGTACATAACTAACACTTCGACTTTTTACAATATTTCGACCTTACAATATGGATTACTACCTTAATTTATGATTAGGGTTTTATTTTGTATATGATTAGTGTGAGGAGTTCTAGTATCAGTAGCTCAAGTGTGAGATTTGTCTATCTGTGGATTGAGATGAGTATATTGTGTATGATTCTAGTTGTTTGTGTGTTACTTTCATGGAAGTCCTCGGGGGTAGCTTGTGGAATTTGTATGAGAGACCATGAGGGTACCCCATGGCAATGCAAGGAAAGACGACAGGGATGACCCATGACACTTGTACGTAAAACCATGGGGGTAGCATGTGGCAGTGTAAAGAAATACCATGGGGGTCGCCTATGGCCCTTGTATGCAAGACCATGGGGGTAGCCCATGGCAAAGTATGTATGGTATGTGGTATTTTTGGGAACTCACTAAGCTTTATGCTTACCATTTTGTGGTTTGGACATTTTCAGGTACTTCTAGTTCCAAAGGAAAGGGCTTGACTTAACTGTACATCATTTCCCTCATGATGATTTCCACATTAATGATTTTATTTTACTTTGATGATTATGATACATATTTTCTATGATGGATTTTTGGGACAAATACTATGTGATTTGATGAATTAAAAATGAAAAATTATTTTCAAGTTTTTTGGATGTTACACAAAAAGAAGAGACATAGACGTCCTACCAAAAAGTTGAGTCAAGCAAGGATCAAGGAACATATCGAGATTATAAGATAGTTTGTTATGTAATCCTTATAAAAAAAGAGTAGATGATCTTTGTACATACACGAGCACACTCTCACCTCTACTTACTACTTACTATCTAGAAAACTCTTGAGCACAAAATCACTACACATTCGATCAACAAGCACTTGTATTATTAGTTTAAGCTCTAAAGCAGGTGACATTGTCACCTCAAGAGGTTTTATGCCAGTTATCCTAAAAAATTAAGGGCTTTTCTCGTACATCATTGTGTCTTTTTACTTATTTTTATTATCACATAAGTGTTTGATTCATTTTAGTACTTATACATATTTTGGTGCGTTGATATTGATCTTACATTTTTACCCAATCTCTATATATTATGTTAAACTCATTTGCATAAATACACATCTTGGGTTCACGACATTTATCTTGAAACATACTACAAAACATTACACTTTTGAACATCTTAAAACACTTTTGATCATTTCCTATTATAAATTTGATTTAACTTCATAATTGTCCTGAACATTACTATCACAAATCTTAAGTTTCAAACACTATTTTACTCAGATATCACAAATTTTGAGTTTCAAACACTATTTTACTCAGAATCCTTACAGTAAACATTTATAATTTTACACAAATCTCAAGATCTTAAGCACATTCAATATCTTCGACATACTTCAAGATTTTAATTTATTTACAATATATTCCATCGGTCCCAAAATTATTGTCCATTAACAAAAAAACAAACAGATTAAGGAAACAATAATTATCATTAACTTTATTAAATGAAATGATAATTATACCCTTTTATTGCATTTTATTCCATGGTAATTGTACTTAATTCCATTGTAGTTTAACTAATAATGAAGGGTATTTTGGTAAAAATGATATTTATTTTTAAAAGTGGACAATTATTTTGGGACAACCCAAAAAGGAAACATGGACTATTAATTTGGAACGGATGGAGCATTTTCTTAAAACATCACACCATACTTATTAATGATTACAAAGTTTTTTTTTTGGAAAGGGAACTTCCCTAACGAGGGATTTCGGGTCAGCTTTCGCGCACCGACTAATCCCCGCTGCAAACATGAGGTTTTGTCTCAAGCCCTAGAGTCACTGCATACGAACCTCCATGGCCACAAGGGCTGAGTGGTGCCAAGATTTAAACATGGATCAATAGGTTATTCATCATATCTTCAACATGTCTTACCAAGTCACCACAACCCAATTTTTGACAAAAACAGTTGTCATATGTAATTAGAGGGTAGAGGAGATTGGGATGAGAACATTTAAGTATATATTTATCTTATTGTATATTTAAGATAATTATATATTCTTTTTTATAAAACTGCAAAATTAATCCTTGTTGTTTTGCAAAAATTGTGGATAGGATTTAAAAAGTTCTGAGTTACATGGAATGTCCAAGATGAATAGTTTTCAGTGGTTTTGATCCCAAAATTAAGAAATTATTGTGGTTTTGTTCCTTGAAAAACTTGAAATGACAATTTTTTCCTTTTAACTTCTTTTTTGTATTTTTTTCATATTTTATTTTAATAATAAATGAAAAACAAAAGAATCTCTCTCTCTCTCTCTCTCTCTCTCTCTCTCTCTCTCTCTCTCTCTCTCTCTCTCTCTCTCTCTCTCCTCTCTCTCTCTCTCTCTCTCTCTCTCTCTCTCTCTCTCTCTCTCTCTCTCTCTCTCTCTCTCTCTCTCTTTTCGTTTTAATTTTTTTTCTTTTAAACCCATACTTGTCGAGTTTTTAAGAAGGAAGGTTGCTATTTATACACATGAAAATAGAGACAGATACATAGAAAAAATCCCATCCATCCACTAATGTAGGTAAATGACACTAGAGCTTCACCACAAATATAGATTGAAACAACAATAAATATAATGTTTGCGCAAGGGTTCCAATGACTTTGAAGGCCCACACACGATGACCATTGACCAGCACAGTCTCAAATATTAAGAAACATAGGAAAGCAAATAAACAATGCATAATCTTCTACATATTTAAAGAACAGAAACTATGACAACTCTTTATGAACTTGCCTGGTTGCTTGCAGAACCGAAATGTTTGTCATGGAAACGGATTCTTTAAGTAAGCACACCACTTGTCAATAAACGCCAACTCGTCTGGATTCAAGCTTGGAAGTTCACGATCTTGAAGACTGTTGATTATCTGTGTAGTCTCACCGAGAAGTTGGGCTGCAGCTTGCACATTAGCCTCTCTTTTCTCTATGGCACTGTCAGTACATTTCATTCGAATGACTTGGGGTAAGTTGGTGAGACAAGCAGCTATTATATCTGCGATCATTGATGATACATGTGAAAATAGTTCCTCTTGGCTAACCTCCTCAATGTTCTCGTGGTAGGAGAGCAAGATTGTTTCAGTGATACGATACATTGAATTGGCACAAATAGACTTGTATTTCCAATTATCATTTCGGTCTGTGATATCCATATTTTCCACGTTGAGGACCTTGTTCTTAGCTTTATCCCTTAACCATTGAAGAATATCTCCCGGTGTATTCACTTTGGACGTAGGATTTGGCAGTTTAGTTCCTAACCATTTGTGGTAGACTTCAACTTCTACCCACAAAGTTTCAGCTGCCTTTTGAATGCCTGCATGATCATGATCGGTAGCATTAAGGGTTTCTTCCACAAGTGTGACATATAAAAGACCCTCACTCACACCATTTAGCAAGCAATCGATCATGTTCTTTTGGATGTCAGGTAGAGACATGGCGATGCATGTTAGAGTTACCAAAGGCAAAGACCAACAATTGACATTTTCTTGTGAAAGTAAAGAAGGAACATGATTGCTGTCAAACTTTGCAAGTCCTTCAAAACCTCGAGATTCTGATAGAAGCTTCATAAGATTCTTGGGTTGTTGTTTTTCTGCCTTTTGGATCAAGCGATTCACAGATTTTAACAAGCGTTTCAACGTTCTCTCTGTAAATTGTATGTCGTCTTGAAGTTGCAAAACATACCCCGGCCGTAAGATCTTTATCTTTTCCTACTTGCTCCTTAGGCTGTTGTCCCGATGTATGACGTGATGTGCTAAACATGGCCTTTAACCATTTCCAACAAGCACGACAAAACAAGACACATATCAAAAAGAGAACCATAATCATGGTTATCATCTTGCATGCTACAACGACTGCCTTCTGAAATCCTATACAAATACTGAGACTTTGGATTTTCAAATGCTGGATGACAATCTTGCATTTGCGGCCACCGGATGGGAATGGTATTCTACTATATTTCCAATCATATAACTTCTGAGTCCAGTAGCTCTCTACTTTAGAGACCTTGATCTGCTTCCAAATCCGATTAGTTGACAACTCAAAGCTTAAGGTCGCAAAACATCTGGCAAGGGGGGCAATTGTACCCAGTATATATTACTCCGATAGATTGTATAATGAAATCACTAACATTGACCGCTTATAATCGGATGTACACTGCTTTTTATATCCTAGATACGGAAAATTGATATTAATAACATAAATAAGGGAGCCAGTGCTTGCAATACATATTACCCCAGCAGCAGAGGTTGTAGCAGAGCAAGCTGTCATAAATTGAGGGCTTCCAGTTCCTGCCATGATCCAGTAGTTGCGCACATGCTGCTTTAGCTTCTCAACAGTTAATCTTCCAGCTTTCAGCTCTTGATCCTTTAAAGCTGTTTGATTAGCTCTTTGGTAGTTCAATTCTAGAATCTGTTTCGACTTTAGAATTGCTAATGCTGAACATGCATATATTATCAGCAACATGAGTATCGGAACCACCCAACCGACTACATAAATAAATCTGGCAAGGAAGCCTATATTATATTGCTCAAATGCGTCATCAGGAGTAAAAAATAGAATTCCCGTGGATATCTGAATGCAAAAATTAACAACCAAGGAGATTACCAGAAGAGCTAAAGCTATGATGTTTGAGACAAGTCCCTCATTGTCCTTGGTTGCTAGAGAAGGCAATAAATTCGCCATCATGGTGCACATAAAGCTCATGCTTCCAATCTTTGTAACCTGGTCCATATAACCCGGCATGAGAGTAGTTAGATCCATGGGTAGCTTTATTGCAACAGCTATCACAGTGAGAGATGCAGCATTCAGAGTGAAATATTTACATGGAAACCATAGCTTTCTGTTTCGCAAACCATGTAATAAATCAGCCACCATTGCAAGGACACAAAGCAGAGATGCTAATGCTATATACATCCCAATCCACGGCATAGGTTTGCTGTACTGGTTTTGCTTACGTGACTGGTATGCTAGATTCCACAGGGAAGATAGGTATTCTGTTGTAATATTTGGGCAAAACGCCATAAGTCCCCGGAATTCGTGATAATTTGGTATGTCCTTGGGATCCATGATTATGGTTTTCTGATAAATGGCAGTTGTGTGGTGTGCGTAAGGGGGTGCAATTAAGGAGATGCAGAGTGCAGAGTATGTCTTGAGAATGGTTTAAAATGAAGCTGGTATGTTTCGTCCAATAATGCTATGAATGACTTTAAAAAAACATTGAAAAAGACATCGTTAACATGTACAGTGAAAGTTAAAGATGTGCATTATGGAACACTTGAAAGATATGGAACATGAAACTAGTAATGACTTTCCTTAAAGCATGCCGGCCACATATCCCTTCAATGTTCAGTGAACTTTAAGAAAACTGAAGTGGAGGATAACTTCCAATGACTATGACCACAGGATTTACAATGCTACATGCAATAATATTTCTACATTTAGACCCACTGGTATGATCCATGTTGTTGTATTGCCATTCAACCTTGATATGAGTGTGGGCATGCATGTTCTTTTTGGGTTATGAAAACAAACGAATTGACAAAAGTATAACGAGAAGGTTTATTATGTGGTATATTCAAAGTTATGTCTTGTGTGTAAATTCTAATTCAAGAAAATATCCATCTACTTTTTAAACATACTCAAATGATAACATAAATATCTAGTTAATTAATTAGGGAAAAGTAGAAAACTGGGCCCTAATATTGCTTTTGCACACGAGGCATTCGTCATCAATACTTTTCCTTTTACCCGTCACAAGTAAGCCTCGTAATACATCTCTGTTATAGTGACATATATATGTTTTTATTGAGGCGAAAAGCTAGCGACATACTAAGCTTTCTACCAAATTTAGCCCTGCTCCGTTTTAACCACTGAACACATAAAGTTACACCTCACCAATAAAGAGATATAAAACACCGGCCACTTAATATATCGAAGGCAGTGATGTCAACTTTCTTTGAAACGGTTAGTCAATACAGTTATACAAACCATCCACCGGGTACCAGTTGAGTGGTAATCTTTTCAGCTCTTGATATTTCCACTTGTGATATCAACTTTCTTTGAACGGTTTGTGTCAAGCTAACCCAAACATTGTCAGTAATCCGGTAGATAATGTTGGAAATTTGGAAGGTTAAGATTTCAGGTTGGCAATGTTGCATTTATCTCACATTGTTCATTGGTGAGTGAAAGAAAATTGAGTTTATAAGGTATTTCTTTTGTTTAGCCTTCAATAGCTATAGTTAAGATTGAGGGATGTGTCAACCTCACACACGTGTCTAACTGGGCCGAGGACGCGAGGTTCACAAAATGGCGCGATTTTGGCGTACGTTGTATAAGTCGTCGGGAGCTTATGAGCTTAAATTTTTAGCAGGGTTCGGGTTGGATCGACCCGGACAACTATGACTTCGTGGACAAACGTGTGAAAGCTTCTAAACTTCTAGAAAATGTGTTACTTTGTAGAGAAACCTACTACAACTAGTAGAGAGCAAGCTACTGACAACTAGAGTTTTGACCCAGTCAAAACAACATGACACATGGCGAGCCGTGATAAGATTGTCGTTGTCAACGGCCCACGTTTTTTGGAGTCTCGTATGGTTTTGCAACTATAAATATGACTTTCTTAAAGCCTTAATCCTCACCCCCAAAATATGAGATATTAGATAATATCTCTCTCTCTCTCTGTGTGTGAGAATTCATCAAGCATCGTTCTCTTGCGTTTTCGAGTATTCCCTTTGCGTTTATCGGTTCTTTCATAGATGTTGTAAAAAAAGATTATTAGGATTAATTAGAGGTTTTACTCTTAAACTTACAACCATCGAGCAACTTAACATTTTTTAGGACATGAGTCATTATGTACGTACAATTTCAATAATCAAATATTAGCGAATATCAGGTTGGTTTCTTTTTTGTCTCATATTTTAACTTGTCTGATCATGGGACATTCTTCATCTACCTTATAATAATAAGATCGTATCCTAAATGATCAAATTGATTTTTAGTGAAAGATGGTATACAAATAATAATAATTGAATTTTATTTTTCTGTTTTTTAACTTTGGAAATTATTTTCCAATACTAATCGTCAGATTAATTTATTATCTTGTGTGGAATACACTAGATAATCTTGTAGTCTACCTACTTTAATACTCGTTCTTCACAATTTCACACATGAAAGGATTTAGTTTTCTTTGCGTCTCTCGTAATGGATTTGTGGTTGACTCGTGGATGATTCTATGCATGCAAACTGTGGTTGATGATTTCTGTTACGGATATTAGTATTTGCTCGTTTAATATCTCCCTTTTCTTAAAGTATTGTAAAGTCTAATTGTTTCATTATTACCATAGTTAGTTTATACTATGCTCATGTTTCTTAAAAAGCCATTAATCACACTATTAGTTAGAACCATATTTAATTAGATAAACTTCAAATAACTTTGTAGAACCATTGTTAACTTTACTTTGTATCTATGGATTTAGGTGTTAGTTTAGAAGTAGATTATATATTATATTTGCCGGTTCAAAAAAAAAAATATTGGCCAGTTTGAGCAAATCCAAATCATAAGACATATTGTCAATTAAAGCTTCAACGTCGCCAGCATTTATCATTGGGTTTATTTTTGCATTAAATGTAATAATGAGAGACATTTTGATAGAATATTTTATTTTTTTTTAGCTTTCTATAGTTTTATCATAACATGAAACATGTCAGAATTTCACGTTCATTTAACTTTGATGTTATTACACGTTCATTTAACTTTGATGTTATTAGAAGGATTCATTAAACCACAAAATCATTGAACGACATAAAAATAACTATGTTTATCTCTAAACATTTTGTATGTTCACAACTAAACATATATATGTTCACAGAGGAACATGTAAGTTCAGTCATGAACATTAGTCATTTTCATGCGGTTCTTTGATTTTATGGTTATTACAAACACACACACATGTAAACTATAAGGCAGTCCCGTTTAAGCTCTCATAATTTGATGATTCTGGAGCCTGTGTAAAGTTAGCGCATACCATACTAAACACTCGCATACTCAACTCACTAGGTAACATGCAAACCATCATACATATACTACACAAAGGGTATCAAGTTCAACATGCAATGCTATGTAAACATTTAAACACTTTCAATCTTAAGTTTCAAGTCTCAAGTTGGATACATGGGTTACATAGTTGCAAACCCATCCTGAGTGATGCACATGATCATGATCGAAATCCCATTTCAACAAATCTTCTGCTTTTCGGGTACACCAGATTAATCAAAGTAGATTTGAAGTGACGGACCAAATGAAAAATGGTATAATAAACTTGGAAAGTCGTTGTTGCACGTGTGGGAAATGGCAGTTATCGGGTATACCTTGTACTCATGTTAAGGTGGTATTCAAGGAAATGAGATATAAATATTGTAGTGCATGGGTGTCATCGTACTTTATAATGGAAACATATCGATCAACATATATAGAAGTTGTGTTTCCTGTGCTAGTTCCAGCTGAATACGAAGAACCGGATGAAGTCATGGTTGTATTGCCACTATTGATGGACAAGCGACAAGACGGACGACCTAAAAACCATAACTGTATCCCATCCCAAGGTGAAGGTCCGATTTAGAAAAAACACTGTTGTTGCCAAAGGATCAGTCACACAAGCAAAAACTATGACTTCGTTTCCCGCAGAGTCAACAAAAACTATATCTTCAAGTAGGACCAACTCAAATGCCAAAAGTAATGTTAAGTCTAAGAGTAGAGCTAAAGTTAATACTAGTAAAAAAGTAGCCAACAATATGATATTGTTGATCTAAAAAACCCGTAGTGATGTTTATACGAAATCATAATATTCTACAAAATGTTGTTCGGATGGATAAACTTGTTTTTGCTACATCCTTCATAAGGAAATTGTTTTAAACATAGACAAATAAAGCCATAACTCAAACGTTAGCGTAATCTGCAGCCTCTATCCACTGGACATTCTCAATCCACAACAAAGCAGCACGCTCATGTGTAGTAGGCTGCAACAATTGGGGGGGGGGGGGGGGGGGGGGGGGGGCTGCATAAAAACAATATATAAAGGTTAATCTTAAGTTATTTATGTCATAGCAACTTATAAATTATAAGGTGGACTAAACTACATACATTAGTAACATCGAGAATACGTTGACAATCAGGTGCCTACAAACGCCTCATCCTAGCTTATGCAACTCCCCGAGGGATAACACCCGGTATAGGGAAGCCAACTATAGTACTGTTGGGAAATATCTCCAAGATACAAATCTATAAAATTAAGATGTCAAACAACTTACCAACTTAACAAAGTTACAATAGTTGTTGCTTAAAAACTCTTATTAAACACAGTGTACATATCTTAAATGCATAGACAAATCCTTGTAGAGTATATGTGTGTCTACTACCTACTCTTGGCACATTGGGATTCAAATGGTCCTCAATCTAATCAAACACAGTACATATATGTTTGTAAGTGAAATATCATATCACTCTGCCCCATGGTTACTTATGTCAAAAAATTACACGTAAACAATATATGTATCATTTTGATATAATGTGTGTAAAAAACTGTATACTTGTTAAACTCATCTAAATTTGAGACGAGTGTCATACGTTCATTAGTAACTGGATGTCGAGGGTATTTCCCCATAAATCTTTGCTCTAGCATATACAACATGGAGACTTTCACCACGTCTGCATTACTTAATTGATGAAGTAAGTTATTGACACGTGCATAAGGTTAACCACACCCACCGAATGTGAAAGCGACACAAATGGAAACACACGTTCTCTGAACTTTGAAAAACCAGAACTGGGAGGGAAATACTCCCTCCCAGTTCATTGTAGGTACCGCAAGTCGGTAACCAACCAGAATACTTTCCTGTCAAAGCAAACCCGATAGTTGCCAACTAGATCAAAAGTAGTAAATTCATTGCACACAAGATAGTGACATAGCAAAGGGTGACATTCGACACCCATCGGTATGTTCACGTAATCACCAAAACATGATTGCCTAAACATGAACCCACAAACTTTTCGGT